TTTATTTATTTATTCATAAGAGACAGAGAGAGAGAGAGGCAGAGGGAGAAGGAGGCTCCCCGCCGAGCAGGGAGCCCTATGTGGGACTTGATCCCAGGATCCTGGGATCATGACCTGAGCCGAGGGCAGACGCTCAACCATCTGGGAGCCACCCAGGCACCCGAGGCTATGTTTTTAATAAGCTTTCTTCATGATCCTAATAAATAACACTTGTGAGAACTACTATGTTAACACAAAGGAAAAGTGAAGAATAACAACTATGCATACTGCCCTAAACCTTTATATTAACTCATTTAATCATCACAAAGACCCTAGGAGATAATTATAGATACTTTAGCCTCATTTTCAGATGTGGAAACTGACGCACAGAAAGGTTAAGTATTCAGCTCAAACTAACTCAGTCAGTAAGTGATAGAACGAAGATTCAAATGCAGGCCATGTGTCTCTACTTCACTGCACTTACAGTGGTAGAGCACTGGCATAATCCATTCATACAGCAAATATTCACTGAGTATATACTATATTCCAGACAATGTTCTAGGCAAATTGGATACAGAAGTGACTATATATTTATATATACCATATATTTAGGGAGGGAGATAGATATTAACAAAATGGGCAATAAATAAATTAATAATATAAATTTCAGATATTGTTAAGTGAAATTAAAAAAACTCATAAAGCTATGAAAGTGGAAAAAAGTGTAATGGGGATGCTGGTACTAATTTATTTATTTATTTTTTAATTTTTATTGTTATGTTAATCACCATACATTACATCATTAGTTTTTGATGTAGTGTGCCATGATTCATTGTTTGTGCATAACACCCAGTGCTCCACGCAGAACATGCCCTCTTTAATACCCATCACCAGGCTAACCCATCCCCTCACCCCCCATGCTGGTACTAATTTAAATGGTGTGCACAAGGGAGATTTTTCTGAGACATTTGAACAGATATTTAAATGATGGAAAGAGCAAGCCAGGTAAAGATCCAAGGGGAGATTCCAGCAGGAATATAGAATAACAAATATAAAGATTTTAAGGTAGGGAAAGCCTGGCTTTTTGGAGGAACGACAAGAAAGTATGTGTGAAATGTTATAGGAGTTGGTGGTGAGGGCATAATGTCATAGAGAGAAGCAGGGGTCAGATTGTATAAGGTCTTGTAGGTGATGCTAATGAGTATAATTATCACCCCTTGGAGGGTTTTAAGAATAAAAGTGGTATAATCTGGTTTATATTTTGAAAAAGATTACTCTGGCTACTTTGAGGAGTGGGCAAAAGTGGGAACGACTACAGTGGTCCAGGCATGAGAATGATATTAGTTTGGGCTTGAATTCAGCAGGGTCAGTGATAATACTTGATTGATTTTGAAATATATTTTCATGGGAGCACGGGTAGGACTTGCTCTGGAGGTCAAGGGAAAAAGAACAATTAGGCAAGACTCTTAGAGAAGGTTTTCTGGGGGGGGGCCTTGAATAATGAGGAAAATGATAGAACCAATTAGCTAAGATGAGGAATATTAGGGTAGGAGCAGCTTTTGCCCCAAGGGTAGGGAGTGCAGGGAAATCTTGAATTCTGTTAGGAACATACTCAGTTGAGAAGACCTTCTTGATATTCAGCAGAGATGCCAACTGGACAGTTAGCTGTACACATTTGGAATGCAGGAGAGATCATAACTCAGATTTGGGAATTGTCAGTTGATAGCTGGTATATAACATCACGGGTCTGGATGAGATCACTAAGGGAATAAGGAGAGGTTGAGAAGAGGTATGTGCACTGGGTTTCTGGAGTGCTCCAACATTTAGAGGAGGAGCCAGCAAGGAGACAAAGACAGAGTGTCAATGAAGTGGTGAATAATTGGGAGAAATATTTTGTCTTGCAAGGCAAGGAATTATCATCTTGACGGAAGGAGTCAGTGATAGCTGCATCAAATGCTGCTGAGAAGTCAGCACAGAGAAGTGATGCTTGAACTTAGCAAGATGGAGCCTGTCAAGACTTCGATGAAGACGGTTTTAGGACTACTGATGGTTAAAATAAGAAAATGAAGTAATAAAGTGGAGTTATTGAAAATAGATAACTTTCCTAGATTTTTGGTAAAGAAACTAGAACTTTGAAACAATAACAGGAAGGGAACATTGGGCCAAGTGACATTTTGTTTTGTTTGCTTTTTCCTATATTACTCCATTGCTACAGGACTTTTTTCTTTTTTAATGAGAGATATTTCATCATGTCTGCATTAAATTTATCCAGGAAAAAAAGAGAGAGAGAGAGGAACTGATATTGCAGGAGAGAGAGGAGACAACTGCAGAAACAGAGTCCTTAAAGGGACAAGAGGTTAGAGAGCATGGATCACAAGTGAAGGGCTGGCCTTGTAAAGGATCAGGGAACATTCTTCCCTTGGAAAAAGGGAAAGCACACTGGCAGAGCAGGTGGTAGGAAGGTCAGGCGGTCTTCCTGTGACTGCTTGGGTTTTCTCAAGGACATAGGAAGAGAGGTCAACAGTGGAGACTGAGGATGAGGGAGAGGGTGTTTGAGATTTGAGGAGAGCAAATAAGTTGTGAATCTGTTGTCCCAGAGAATAAGAGAGTGATTTTTCTAAAGAAATGTCTAAGAATTACTAGGATGTTTTGAAGTTTCACTTGAAATCAATAGCTATAAATTTAAAGTGAGATGAATGAGTGCTTTTCTAGCCCCATTCATTTGCCCAGGCACTGGCATGGAGGGCTGAGGCTTTGCTGGAGGAGCACCGCAAGGGAGAGAGGAGAAGAAGGAATGGTAAAAGCCTGTTTAGAGGGAGTCTCGGAGTATCATGGGTGGAAGAGGCATGGGCATAAGAGAGGTGAAAACTGGTAAGGGAAATGGTAAAATCGGTGACTCAAGGTCCCAATGGAGTTGGAAGACTTTTTGAGGGGGGCGGTACTAGAATAAATTATAAGAACAGAAAAGAGGTGTTGTTCAACAAGGATAACGCTTGATCAGGGGGTTTTGGGGGCGGGTGTAGTTCATGGCAGTGTCCAGTTTCCGAGTGTGACTGAGACTCCGAGGGCAAGAGTGAGATGACACGCCAGATCCGGAAACAAGTGCGTGTCAGAAGGGAGCCGGCAACACACAGTTGTCTCACTCCCACGGGATGTTCTTCCTCACACCAAAGTGAGCTTAGATTTTCTGATCTATAAAGCCATGACACAAAACGGTGTCAGGTTTGAGATGTGGGGGTGTGGGGAGAGAGAAGGGGTGGCTCCAAGAGTGTGAGATCTGTGCGGTCTAACAGGGTCCTGCATTTAAGAAGGATCTCTAATCACGTGGCACTTAATGCCTGGGTCTTGACATCTTTTTTGATTCTTAATTTTTAAACAAGGGCCTCACATTTTCATTTTACACTGTAATCTGCAAATTATATAGACAGTCCTAGAGAGAAGATTAGTGATTTAGTAGGAGAAATGTGTTCTTTTTTCATTTGGGCTAATTTTCCATAAGCCTCATTTTTCTCCATTTAGCATGCCATTAAAATTTAACCAAAGTTCATAATGGAAGTTTTAAAGAACACATCTGTCAGGCACTTAACTTTTAATGTAAATTTCCTTTTAAAACCACTCATGCTTAATAAAAATTAGGCTGAGAATGAAAAATTCCCTGACTCAGGAAAGTGAATAATCAGTAAACTTAAAAGAAATATAAATTTAAGTGCAGGTCTAGAGTCTGAATTCATACTTGAATGAAACAGCTTAGAAAAATGCTTATACTTTTATTTCTTATTGTAAATGAATTATATGTTTATTATGCAATGTTTAGCAAAAAAATGTATACAAAAAGAAGAAACTAAAAATTATCCAAAGACCTTAACAAGAGTTAACATTTTGATGTAGATCCTTTCAGGCTTTTGTATATACTTATGAATGCTAATTATGCATGTTGGTACTTATGGGATTGTAATTACATACCATTATAAAATTTATTTTTTTAATTTGACAAGATAACCTTAGGCCTTCCATTCTTATATTTAAATATTCTTAAAAATACCATTATAATATAATTTAATATAATTTTCTATTATTTGGACATAAAATAATGTATTACTAAACACTTGACTTTTTCAATCTTCACTATTATAAACAATACCAATATGAACATTCTTTATATCTTTGTACATTTTTATAAGTATAAATTCTGAGTCAAAAAAGTGTGCCCATTTTAAAGGTCTTGATCCATTTTTCCAAATTGTTTTTTATAGGTATAACAATTTCTAGGTCCACTCCATGGCAGTGAATATTAATCTTTCTTTTAAATTTTCCCAATTGGACAGACAAAAGCCATTTAACATCATTGTTTTCTTTGTTTATTAATAAGGTTGAACAAGTTTCCATGTGTCATTGGCCTTTACTTTTTTGATGAATGTCCTGTTAATGCCTTTTGGTCGTATTTTTTCTAGGTGCTTTTGGCCTTTCTCTTACTGTTTTGCAAAATGCCTTTATAGATTAGGGTTGTTACACAGAAATTTGCTAATTTGTCAAAGCCTCGCCAAGGCCCTAAGAACATATTTGCAGAGATCTGCAGGACTTCTGTGTTTTTTCTCCATGAGGGTGGCTTTAAAATGCATCACTGTTTTTTTTTTAAACTAAAAAATGCATGATAATGGTAGTTATGAGATAGCATTAATATTACATAAATGAAAATATTTTGTACTGTATCTAAAAATGCATAGCAAAATGTTAATAATGAAAACAATAGGAAAAAGTGCTATACTAGCTCACTGAATATATCTGTCTTTCTCATTCATTTCTCCAAATCCTGGCAGTGCAATTTACATATGGAATATTCCGTGATTTGGTCTGTTTGTCTCTGTGCCCTCCATTGTAAGCATTTCATTAATATTTTTATTTTGAGTCCTGTTGGAAACTTCCAAGGTATAACACACAATTGTGTGATTTCTCAAAATAATCATTAGGATGCAGAATGTCAAATGAAAGATTGAGGTTTTGGATTGTTGGATTTTTCTTACCCTTTCCAATGTAATTTCTTCAAACTCATATTCAATTTCTGTTCCATTGACCTGTGAGTAGGAAAAAAAAGAAAGAATGATTAAATACATATTAAGGGGGAGATGGCTGTGTTTTTAACAACATTCGGGGTTAAGTTTCATTCTGGCTATGAATAAACCACACTTTCTTAAAAATATTTGTGATTGTATGTTTTCATCCAAATAAAATACAATCTAAGCTGTTCTAAAATATATGAGTGAAATTTTGCAAAAAATAATCAAAGTTTATTGCATTCCTTAGAATTTGTGATATTTGGGGTAGAGGGAACAATACAAAATATGCATTGTGAGGTTATAAAGAAGAAACCACCTAGGGGTAATGTTACAGTTACAAGGGAAATAATTTCCTAATATCTTTAAAACTTCCATGAACAAACACTAAAATACGACCTTAAAAAGGAAAAGGCAGCACAACTATATGTCATATTTTCCCAAAAAATAGCATTCAGAATAACTATGTCAGATAAGAAATGTCTTTTCTTTATTGGCTCAAGCTCAGGTAATTCATCCCCATTATCCTCGTTATATTTATTAGGAAGCCCTGGACCATGTAACATAACCATGCTCATGTACTTCAACAGCAGCAAGTAAAGAATAAAGTAGGACATGTTTGAAATTCCTAGTGAGAAAGCTTTAACCATCTAAACAACTCTTGCATTGATATAAACTTACAGAGAGAAATACTTAAAGATAGCCAGGCAACACATCACATATGCCTTCATGTCAACAGATGTGCATACAGAATAGATGAAGAGTGGCTTTAAAATAACCTAACAAATATTCAATTCCCATTCTTATCAGAGTCCTTTTCAACCAGGCAAAAATCTCCGAGCGAGAAAATTCTTGAGTTGGCTGTGTCTTTTTTCTTACATGTGTCTCACAACATCATTAGCATTTAGGGATCATCTAGAAAGACGAATTTCTAACCATCATTATCTTTGTAGGGTCTTAACCAGTTGACTTTTCCTTCCTTAGAAGAATTTAAACATAGTTCTCGCAGACTGAGAGCTCTACAAAGGTAAGGACTGGATACCCTATTCCTTAACTGAGTCTGGCAAGAAATAATTGATGAAGGAAAGAAAAGAAAAGAGGAATGAAGGAACCATGGACTGAACTCAGTATTCATTTATTTATCTGATTTGTAAACACAGGTACTTGTGAATTCTCTTCCATAAGGAATTTGGATGCAGTATCATCAATGGAAGGTGTAATTATAACTATCATCAGCAGCTATAAAGAATGACGACAGACTTTACTTATGTGTGTCCACCAGCCACTTAGAGCATGTTTTTGATTTTCTAATTACATGAGCTAATTGGTGAATCACATTTTACTGTGTTACTACATTATCAAACAGCCTTAAACCAAATTTGATTTTCTGGGCTTCAGCAAGTTAATGACTCATAGAAGAGGACTTGATGATGTTAGGAAGCTTTAGCGGCTTTATGGAGGTTTTTGTTCTTCATGTGTAAAAGTACAAAACAAAACTCAAAGTCCCTGGATGTTTGTGTCTCCATATTAATTCCATTTTTGTTTGTTTTTTATAACTTTCTTTAGTTGATGGAAGAAAGGGAAGGCTGAATTCATGTGATACGTTTTAATTCTCCCAGTGTGGCTTTGTGAAGCTTTTCTTTGCTTCAGTGACTTCTCTGGAATGAAGCCCTTCACATTATCAGAGTGCTGAAAAGTGGGGAGAAAAAAAAAAACTTCAAAGAAACAAAAACAAACCTCTGATAATAAAATCTAAAGGCTCAGGCTGAAAGAAATGCTGTTAGGAAGTGCTTAAAAGACAATAGTCCTTTAGTGGCATACAGTCCTTCGTGGGGTCTCCCTGAATCTTTGCTTAACAAATCTATGATCATGTACGCTGACATCATGTACGCTGACTTCAGTTCCTACGTGCACTATAGACACATATCCCGATTGCTATTCAAATGTTCCCTGGTCAGCCAGACAAACTACTGGAGGCTTACAGACTCCATGGGTCTTTAGTTTTCAACCCAAACAAGTCATGTGATTTGCCTAATTCCCTAGTCTCCAGGATGTCTTCATAAGAATAGATGATGCCATCTGGATTGGGATGGCACCTTGCTTTTAAAAAAATAGCATTAAAAAAAGAAACAATAGACTTCTTAATTGAGTATGATAAAAAATTCAGCAACTCACTAACCCAGCTGTTCTGTTTAAATAATCTGTGACTAAACAATAAAAATAATCCTTGCTACCTTAAAAAAATACCATATAATTTCACTTACATGTGAAATCTAAAAACCAAAACGAATGAATAAATAAACAAAAAGAAGAATCAGAGCTATAAGTACAGAAAACAAACTCATGGCTGCCAGAGAAAAAGGGGGGAGGGAGGATAGGCAAAGTGGGCGGGGAGAGGGAGGATGGGTAAATTGGGTGAAGGGGAGTGGAGATACATGCTTCCAGTTACAGAATGACTAAATCACAGGGATAAAATATACAGCACAGGGAATATAGTCAAAGGTATTACAATAGCTTTGTAGGGTGACAGATGGTAGCTACACTTGTGGTGAGCATAGCATAACATAGAGAATTGTTGAATTATTATGTTGTACATCTGAAATGTAAAATTGTGTTTCAACTATATTCAAAAAAGAATCCTATGACTGCCACAGGATTTAGTGAAATTATGGAGGAATGAAAGGTTTTTAGCGTAGCTGAGGCAATATTTCCACCATGAACTGAGACTATTTAAAACATGGTATCACAAGAGACAATGTGGGAGTTCAGGAAAGTCATTTAAGAATTCCTAGCGTCTATTCTATCATCACTAGGGGAGTGTGATCGCTGTTTGACCTCAAGACACCTGAGACAAGAAATCTCACAACCTGTCTTGGCAAAAACCCTGGGGGAAAGGATAGAAAGCATAACTAAGTATACCTCCATTTTAATCAGAAGTACGTAAGAGTGGGTTGTGACATTCATGAAAATTCAGTGACTTTTCAAATGAGTACACCAATATAATATTCTTTAAATAATTTTTCCAAATTTATTTAGAGGAGTGGTTGCTTGGTAAAGAGCCAAGAAGTATAAACAGTAATTGCCCCCATCCATAATTTTATGTATCCCTAGGAAAAAAAAAACTATGCTGTGAATGGGCTCCCATCATCTTCTGGGGGCTTATAATCTGTTGTCTGAACTTGCCTTGGTGGTCTCCCTCTATTCCCAATCAGTTAGTTTACCAATATATGTCTTTAAATTAAAAAATTCTCTTCCTGAAAAGAGTTCTGCCACATGCATTTGTCGGCGTTGCTCTTGACCAGTAATATTTCGGGTGATACTTAAGTACCCAGGCAATGTGTTATGCACCTGATAGTTTGGGGCCTAGACAGCTACATGTATTGGGTTCAAGTTATTACAACTCTGGCACTGACCATCACTGATAGTCTCTTCTCACCTTGAAGACTAGAAAAGTGAGAGGATTGACATTTTTGTAGATATAAAGGTCATTTTCCAGTTTTGAAAAATCTGTTTTTCATTAGATACTTATTTTCCTGAATCCAATGGTTCTGTGGTGACAGCTGGTAGGTTTCTATGGGGGCTAGAAAAGCAAATTGATGCCACACATTGTCCTGCACTGTTCTGGGCATGTAGCCTTTTTGGCATCATACAGAAGTTAAGAGAGTGACCCATTCAGATTCAAACTTGGTATGTATGTATGTATGTATGTATGTATGTATGTATGTATTTATTTTAAAGATTTTGTTTATTTATTTGACAGAGAGAGACACAGCGGGAGAGGGAACACAAGCAGGGGGAGTGGGAGAGGGAGAAGCATGCTTTCCACTGAGCAGGGAGCCCAATGCGGGGCTCAATCCCAGGACCCTGGGATCATGACCTGAGCCAAAGGCAGACGCTTAATGACTGAGCCACCCAGGCGCCCCTCAAACTTGGTATTTAAAATTATAATTTCATGAACTTTGAATGCTATCACACTGCTTTTTTTTCTCCTTCAGTGCTAGTTTAATTACCTGGCCAGATGATCATATAATTTAATTCAGATGTATTTTTATCTTCTGAAAAGAGGTCTTTCATGAATAACATACATGAACTATTTCATGTTTTAATGCATTGAGGATAAACACACAGTTCTTCAAGAGGCACCAAATATACTAAGACCTCAGAGAAATGTGATATCAAATACATAAAATAGAGAGGTGAACTAGAACCACGGCTCCACTGTTGCCATATGGAAGGATTGTGTATGTACATACGTATATACGTGTGTGTGTGTGTATATATATATATATATATATATATATGATATATGATGTACTAATTCTGCCCTTTATTAAAAGTAATTATGACACAGTAAACAAGACTTATGGTTTTTCATATAAAGCTGCTGTTGGACTTTGAAAGGGGGATGTGATGATCATGGAGACTGGGGCATCTGGTTTTCATGGCTTCTTGCCACTCCCAGAACAAGACAAAGCCCAAGTCACTCTGTTTCATCTGTAACTGCAGCATATAACACAGTGCCTACCACACGGAGGCTCAGTGACCATGTTCATGAGGAAATAGAAACATTGATGAATCACTAAATATGATTTTTTGGGGGTGGGTAAAATTTGATGCTCTCAGAGAAGACTGTAGCAGCAAATGGAGATTCCTACAGGACCTAGGCCTTTGGAGATTCCCAGCTCAGATATCCTCATCTCTGAGATCAGCCCTTCTCAGGAGTCCTTTCTACAGAGTCACAGCCATGATCAGATGCCCCAGCAAGTCTATAACACACACACACACACACACACACACACACACACACACACACACCTTGTTCGTATTCGTCTACATTGCCAATGGTCATCCCCCTTTCCTACTGGAGGTCTATTACAGCAAACACATCATGACGCTTCACGGCTCCTTACACTTGAATCTCCTATGTACATTCTATTATATTTAGTAGGTAAGATGGTTTCCAGAGTTAAAAAAAAAAAAAGACACAGATCTGAATCCTAGTTTCAGTATTTATGAGATAT